TTTATATCTGACTTAGTATAAATCTGGGAAGTCTCCTTTTCTAAAGGGAGTGCTGCCAAAATTTCTACTAATTCAGAGAGTTAGACAGAATTTGATTATCCAGAGTTACAGATTATTTCTGTTTTTATATCTGACTTAGTATAAATCTGGGAAGTCTCCTTTTCTAAAGGGAGTGCTGCCCAAATTTCTACTAATTCGGAGAGTTAGACAAAATTTTGACTTTCCAGACCTAGAGATTATTTCGGCGTTCATATTTGAGCTTATATAAAATCTGGAAAGACATTTTTCCTACGGGAAGCGCTGCCGAAAATTCTCTTAGTTTAAGGGAGATAGACTATATTTTTTACAGGTGGCGATTCAGGCAATCCACCCAGAATAGGGGAGATTCCGTAGTTCGTCTATCTTTAGCTTAAGCATTTGGTTTAAAAGTAGACTTAAGTTTAGCTTATAGGGAGATTTTGAGTGAGGATGTATTATGTAGTTATATTCTCCATACACTTATGATCTTAGCTTGGGGATTGATCTGTCGTGTGTTTCAGGTTATTTTGATCATTTGATCCAAGTTCAGGGCTAGATCCAGCTTGATCCTTTTGAGTATCACTTTCTGTTATCACTGATAACAGGTCGGTTGCCGATTCGTCGGTCTACGACTCAATTTTAACTCTCCCTCCACACTCAACCTAAAAGGCTTTAGCCCTGGTGATCTTCGTTGTTTTATTAAAGTTTTCACCCGGACTTTTATTGAATGGYCATTTAACAAAGGTACTGAGTATTTAATTAAGGTTGGTTGGACAGGAGGTTTTGGGGCTTGTATGGCTAAAGCGAGGGGTATGAGTGTCGAAGGTGGTTGGGRTTGACTCCGTGTAATGTGTGGGTTATTGATTTGGTTCGTTGATGTGACTGCAGGTATGTGCTGTGAGTCAGACTCTGGATTTGGTTGTCTGCGATCACACATATACGTATTATTGTGAGAAACCCCAGTGAGACTATGAAAAGTGATCGCCACATACTTAACCCTTATATACGTATACATGGGTATACTTGGGATGAATGTTTGCATGGGTTGAAGAGTCCCCATATTAAAGCCCCACTCAGAAGCTGGGACTGAGGAACTTAGGGGAGACCCCTATTTCTATTTTTTGTTCTTGCTTTTTGATGATTTTTCTTAGTCGGACGTTTGGTCCTGGGCCGGGATTCGAGGTCCTTGTCCAGGACACCCCAAGCCCTAGGCTCTGCAGGCGAGGGGTTTTCCCTCGCGCAGAGCCTATTTTATTTGCCTACCGAGACACTCAGGCCAAGAGCCAGAGGTGTCGCGGCAGCTGCGCGACTATTCCTTCAGCCGTGCAATGCCATGAGGGGTTAGGCCCTCACGACACTTCAAGTCAGACACTCGAGTGTCATAAGCGGTATTCGATTTCACGAGGGGCCGCTTGATTATGGGCACTACATAGTACGTCATCATGGCGACTGCTTGCGTATAATTGCATTGCGAGTTGATATGCGATAGCCCTGCATCCGCGCGGTTTTATACCTAGTCTCGCACGCGACGCCTATTCGATTTCCGCGTTGGAAAGTTATGGGTTGGCTACCGAGGGGCTTGGAGCGTTGTCGCGTTGTTTGTGTTGTGTCGTCTCGTATATGTGTTGTCTTGTGTGCATGTGTATTTGTAAAGTGGAGTGCGCGTGGTGTGTGGGAGTCGTCCTAGTCGACCGGCGACGGGTCGCGATTGGGACCTCAGCCCCCCAAGATGCCGATTCGCGTGCGGGTTCGATAGAGGCGTATTACCGCGCGTACCCCCTATGCTACAGCGAAAGAGAAACGCCCTCGGCTGGTCCACCTCTGTGATTGCAACTGACTAGCTTTCGTACTGTGGGCTGGTAGCTCGGCGGGGATACGCCCACCGAAGGGAGGTGACAGCTCCCGTAAGGTGTAGGTAAGTTCTGTCTCGCGTAGGCCCTATCCTGTCGTAGGGGCTCGTGAGAGGTATGGCTGGCGCACTCGGCCGGAGCGGCTTGTGGACGCTCCATGTATATTGCGACGAAGGGTTTTAAAACCAACTCCTGCGTGGCGCGGCCAGGAGGGTCCCGCGCTGCCCCCGTGCGGTGCCGGACCGATGCGCCCGACAGGTGGCGCCGTTGCTGGGGATAACGGAAAGCCTACCGTTGTCTCTGGTGGAACGACATCCGGGTATGAGAAGTGAATAAGAAAAGGCATAAAGGAGTGATGAGAAGGTAATGAAGGAATATATGAATGACTAAGTGTAGGTGAGGAAATTTACCTACCGAAGTAGAGGAAGTATGAGGGACGATCGTGTTAACATTTGGGTAAAGTAATTACTAAGGGTTAGGTAGGACGGATGGAATAGACCGGTCAAGGTATAATGTTGAATAAGGGGATGTGCTTGTTTTCTTTTGCCAGGGAACTTGAAAAGAAGAGGCTGTCAAGATGTTTGAGACTGCCGGCACATCAGTTGATCCCAAGAAGGGCCTGACTCTCGATGACCTCATCGCGGCCATCGACCGACATGAAAGGAACCCGAGCAACATCCCAAAGATCGATACTTTCCATTTCTGTGGGGAGAGAGTCTCAGAATGGCTAGAGTGGGTGGAACAAGCTTTGGTCGGGCGGTCGGATGTTGTAAAGTTTCAACGCATCCTTCAGTATGTCCTCCACAGCTACCATCAGGAGGTGAAGAAAGTCATAGATGCGGCTCAAGGTAGCTGGGAGAGGTTCAAGGAGGGGATGCAGAGGAAATACCGCATGGGAGATGGGTTGTTGACTACCGCGGACCTTGAAGCAATGAACAAAGAGGATTTTACGACTATAGGGGCCTTTGTTCAAGAATTTAAGAAAAGGGCGCGGAAGGTCCATGGGATTTCGGAGGAAGCACAGTGCGCCATCTTCCTGGGGCTACTCACAGCGTCGGAGGCCGTCGAGTTGACGAGACATGGAGGAGGTAGCACTAAGTTCACCTGGGCCACCATGGATAGAGGGGTGGAAGTTGGGTGCTTGGACCAGGTGGAACAACGTCAGGTACGCCTGCAAAGGCAGAAGAGAAGAGGTAAAAGAGACGACCTGACTGCCTTTAGAATAAAAGTAGCAGGGTGTGTAGGCTAGGTAGGATGTATGTTGTGTGAGTGTGGTCTGGTCTAAGTTTGCTTGATTATCACCTGTTTTGCTTACCCCAATGTGTGCCTGTTGTCTCCTTCGCCTGTTGTGCAAGTCTGACTTTACGAAGACAGCCATGCCAAGAGGAGGGAGGGGGACACGGCCGCCTTGGAGGCCGTTGGGAGCATCAGGAGGATATGAGAGACATGGGCCTCACCATCGAGAGAGTACTCCAGTATACGATGATGGGGACATCGAGCTATTCCTGGACAACCTTTACGATCATGCGAGGCGTATGGGCTGGACCGTGGCCCAAGCAATCGAGGGACTGAGGGGAGTCGGTAGATTCGAGGAGCCCGTCTCGCGGATTCGTAGAGAGGCGACGACGAGATTAGAGGTGGAGTGGAGGATGCAGGAGCTGCGACCCTCGCCTGTGGGACCAGATGGCAGGCCGATCCGTCTAGAGATCGGAAACGTGGCAGACTTCATCCCTGCTTTTGAGTGGTTCATGCAGGGGCAGGGTATACCGAGAGATGAGTGGGCGAGGACGCTACCACTCTGAACCAGGAAGGCGAAAAGGCCGCTGGCTAGCCAAATCAGAGACATGGCCCGGGACTGGGAGAGCTGCAGGGCACATCTAAGATAGGCCTTTCGACGGCCAGAGCCCCCCCAGCCCAGAGTCGAGAGACGTCAGAGGAGTCAGAGGTCGAGGGACCCTGAGCCCAGGGAGGTGAGACCGTCTCGGGGAAGACGGAAGGCCCTAGCCAGGAGAGAGGAGGAGCCGGAGCAAGAGCCAAAGGTTGAGGAGCGAGGGGCATACCCTGAGTGTGGGTTGGGACCAGTGGAGTTCTATCGTTTTACTGAGGGTGGATTGAGGAGGTCACCAGCACACACACGGGAGGAGCCGCCAGTGTCTGAAGGGCCGTTGAGGGAGTTAGAGACGCATCTGGATATCTCTCAGTGGAGAGCATCGCCTCAGGATGAGAAGCATGAAGAGCAAGTAGAAGGGGTGCCACGAGAGGAGGTACCACAAGAGGAGGTGCCACGAGAGGAGGTGCCACGTGAGGAGGTACCACGAGAGGAGGTGCCACGAGAGGAGGTGCCATGAGAGGAGGCGCAGGGTACTCAACGAGAGAGCAGGCTGGGCGACGTGGGGAGACGTGTAGGGAAGGAAGTGATAGAGGTTGGAGAGGACACGCCCCCACAGGCGCCAGCGGTGGATTTGAGACCCGGGGATGCACCAGGGAGCACTCGTCAGGCAGAGGAGAGATTGCGAAGAGAGGAGGCCCCACTTCCTTCATCAGAGAGGGCTCCATCGCCAGAGGGGAGAGCCGGCAGGAGGAGAGAAAGGGCAGCTGTAAGGGGGGAAGCCTTGACCCTGATTGATAGGCACATAGCAGCTTATGCCCTGGAGCATCCAGACCTGGAGGAGCCAGCACCTGCAGAGCCGCGCCAGGAGCCGTACCAACCTGAGAAGGAGATGGAAGCAGAAATCCCAAAAAGGGTCGACCTCCGCACGAGGGAAAGGGTGCCAGCTGGAGAGACGGCTGAAGAAAAGAGGGCGAGAAGAACCAGACGGATAGATAAGATATGGCAGGAGAGGCAGAGGTTGGAGGCAGCGGGGGAGCTTCCGGAGCAGCAACAGGAGAGGCAGAGATCGGAGGCAGCAGGAGCACTCCCAGGTCAGCCACCCAGCGCGCCAGCTAGGGCCCCGGAGATTCCTGAGATGTGGAGAGACTTCTGGGAGCAGAGAGGAGAGGAACTTCCATCGCCAGTCAGAGCCGGGTTTGGGGTGGCCAGGAAGGCGGAAGAGAGGTTAGATCGTAAAATCAAGTTCCTGGCCAAGACCACTTTTGACCGGCACTTGTTATTGGAGGGCGATCTGACAGGGAAGAAGATGAAGGAAGCAAGCCATGGAGTACGCCTGGAGGCTATGGAGATGGAAATTCAGGACAGCCAGGCAGCTATCATCGAGAGCCTGAGGCAGCAAACCCAGGGAAGGGTGGACAGGCCAGAGAGCAGCAGGCAGGGAGAGCAGAGGCAGCCAGGACAGGGATTGCCAGGACAACCATCTGCAGCAGAGCCTCGCCAGGAGCCACCTATGGGGAGGGTTATCCTAGAGCCACAGGAAGCGAGAGCCCAGAGACAGGCGAGGAGAGAGGCATTCGAGTTCAGAGCCCCTACCGAGCTCGCGACACTGCCGGTAGCAGCAGCGGGCCCAGTCGTACCTTTGGCAGTAGAAGAGGGGCTGCCACCATCTAGCAGTGAGACGGCACAGGGCTCAGCAGAGGGTCCATGAGCGTGCTCCTTGAGGTGGTGCATACTATGTAGGAGGAGGTGAGTTTGTTTTCACCCGAGCAGAGGATAGAGGAGCCTCTTGAGAGAGAGATGGGGATTGAGGCGGAGGGTGCCATCGAGGGCAGACTCCAGAGGATGGGCACGCCTAAGTATGGACCAGACGAGATTGAGGAGCATCCCATGGCGGCGCCAGGAGAGACACTCGAGAGGAGACCTCAGAGGTTGGACACGCCTGAGTACGTCCCAGCGACAGGGGATTTGAGGAGCAGACTGGGATCTTGGGCTACTGGATCTGGGTCTGGGGGACCGGTTCCTGGGACAGAGCAGCAGGAGGTCGTTTGTACCGCAGCTCCTCGATCAGAGCAGCAAGAGGTCGTTAGTACCGCAACTCCTCGATCAGAGCAGCAGGGGGTTGTCAGTACCTTGGCATGATCTCCTTCATCACCACCTCCTCAGCCCAGGAAGAAGAAGTTCAAGAGGAAGGTTGATCAGCTATGTTTCTACTCCAAGAGGAGCGTGCATTATGCTCTGGACTGTCTCGAGTTCCTTGAGGATAAGGCAGCAGGGAAGGTCTCAGAGGCAGGGGGTAAGATGTATGATAGACAGGGTAGGATAGTAGAGAAGTCCGCAGATGGACTTAGGACTCAGTTATATAGGCAAAACCAGGAGGAGTTGWGGAGATAGTGCCRGTTTGTCTRTATAGGTGGGCGAGTATCTTGTGAGGCATCAGCTTAGGGTCTGTGTGATACCCTCTTAGACTTAGAGGATCTTTTTGATGATTGCTACTAGTGTAGATTTGAACTTTTGTGTTCCTACTGAGTTGGGGTTTTGAGGGTCAGGGTGGTTTAGATAAGGTATGTACATATTTAGGTGGCCTACGCCCTGGTCTTTGAGAGACAGATCTGACATGTGATTTAGGGGTAGTTGTCAGTATGGGTTTGGGGTGGCTGGAGTGGAGTGAGCTATGATTTGAAGACATTTTTTTTCTGTGAGGCCTTTTTATTCCCTGAGTGTATATTATGATGAGGCTTTATTTCAGGGACCATTCATATATGTGACAACCACTTGTCACTCTCACATGTGTGGTTGTACTCTGATGTATGATGAATTTGTGTGGATAACGTGTGAAAAACATTTTATTTTGCCATTGGTACAGTGAATATAATTGTACGCAAAACTGTCTACTCCTCGGTATACTTGTGCGACCTGCCCACGGGCAGCTGATAGGGCAGAGTACAAGGGGAGGGAGTGCAGCCTGTTTGTGAAAAGTTGTGAGGGAGGCTAAAAAAGCTTACCATGTTAATTTGATTGTTTAAGTTGTGATGAGGACCCATAAGATGGTCCCTCAGTGATGTTTTGTTTTGGATTTTTGGGAAGGGGATGTTTTAGGATGTTGTGTGTTATGATGAGACCCCCTTGAGTTTTGAGGAGGGGAAGTTTGGTTTTATGGCGAGACCCCTCGTGATTTTTGGAAGAGGGGGTGTTTTGTTTATGATGAGAGCCTCTTGGATTTTTGGAGAAGGGGAATGGTCTATGGTTGGAAGACTCGCCCTYAGAGGTAAGTAAACTGATTTATGGCATGGCGAGTTGTTTAATGGGTGATAAAAGTCTGACGAAAAGAGTCACTTTTGTTTGGAATGATTGAGAAAGTCGCAATGAGTGCAGGGTAAGAGATGTCTCAGAGTAAGTGGTTGCTGGCTCTGATCAAGTCAGGGGTCACGGCCTGGTGGAGCTAGCGGTGATTTTGTTTGTGAGCGTGCGAAGGATGCCATGCCTATTGTGGAAGGGCTGGGAAATGCCTTCAGACCCCTGCGTGATCGCGCAGTGGGCCAGTGATTTTGTTTTGCGATGCCCCTGTCTAACCACTAGTGCTAATTCTGAGACATCTTGAAGAAAGGCCAAGCTAACGGAAAAGAAGTTAGTACCTCTAGGGCGTAACCCCATTGGATGGCTGCTAACCGGTGCAACCTGGCTGCGGGACCGCGGGGTAAGAGTTTAAGGGGGGGTGTCCGCCCCAGTGAAATTACTCCGCAGGATAATGAAGATTGATAACTTTTTGGGGGGAAATCCTGATTGAGTGCTTACCAGGAAGAAACCTATCGTTGCGTAACCAACGAAGGTACTGCCATTAAATAACAATGCGTGGGCCGTGGTCCTGGTCCGATAAACCAGGTCATGGTGGGCGGAGGTGGAGACCTAGCCTTTCTGTACTAGACTGCAGAAAGAGCTGAGCGAATATTAAATATACAAATATACTTGCATGTATTTGATAGCGAGAAATTTTTGAGGAGGAAGACGAGAGTGTCTTCCAAAGGTCTCGATTAAGGCCCGCCTCCCTAGTTTTTGCCAGGACTGGGGACACCCAACAAAAAGCCGAAGGTTGTCAAGGACCAGGGAGAGGACGATTGGAAAGGTCTTTGGAACTTATGCTGCCAGTATCCTAATTTCTGACAGATTGAGAGGCTCAGGTTAAAAAACCTGGCAGCATATAGTTACGAAGGCATGGTTTGATAGAGGCCCCTACCCTGTGTTTGTCGGCTAATCAGATTGGCTCTTGTTTCGTCAGCATTTGGAATGTGGATGGATTTATAGCTTTCAGATTTGGCGAAGCGACGGGGACGTCGCTTAATATGGTCCGGTAAGCTGTCGGTGCAAATACCCTTACAAGGGTATCCGCCCTGTTTTTTTTTTCAAGTGACAGAAAATAGATTTAAGAAGTTTGAGTATGCCGCGCGAGTCACGGCAGTTTATATGGCTAATGGTTGACTAGAGTACAGAGTGCGTGGGCGCGCAGGATTAAGGTGGGTGTGATTCTTTTCTGTTGTTGATCGTAAGGCCGACGCGGTGCGTCGGTCGTTTTTTTTTTATATTGTTGATATTTACTTATTTTTGATTGAGCAGGAATTAAGGATGTTTTCGTTTTACTGGTACGTTTGACTGAGGTCTGCACGGTTGTAGGCGGAGGTGAGACTCAGACCAATTTTCCTGGCTATGAGCGCAGCGCCGCGCCGCCTTGTATGACACTTTGTGGATATTGGTCTCAGGCTTGGGCTTAGCCCTATAGTTTACAACATCGGACTACTGCTACGAAGGTTCGGGGATCGAGGCCGGCTAGCGTCAACGCCGCGGCAGCGGAGCGTCGGGGAGAAAGCCGATGGGGTTGAGGGTCGTGAGGCTATCCCCCGCAGTTTTGTTAGTGGCGGCGTCCGATCGGTAGTGGCGTTTTCTAAATAGTTTTATTCTCGTGTCGTATTTTCCTTTTTATATATATCCCGACGGGGCATTGATTTGGACGGTACGCCGGATCTGATGGTCGCCGTGGCGGTCGAGGACCTTGAGTGCGCGCCTTTTAAGGCTGGCCGCAGGTTTTCCTTCCACTTTGGTCTTCAAAGTTCTCATTGGAATTACCGCCGAAGGTCGTACGGGGCCCGCCTCACTAAGGCCCACGTATAGGCTTTACAGCAGGCCGCGCGTCCACGGGCAACTGACTGAACGGGAGTTTGCCCGTTGGGGGTCCGA